CTGTACGGTAGCCGACTACAATGGCTGGATTAACAATAGTCGGTTTTGTGCATGTATTCGTCATAAGGATCCAATGCGAGGTAACCGAGTGCAGTGAGCAAAGTCGAACCTGAGTGTGTTCGGTACTGTTGCCACTGTCACTGATCGATGAACTCTACTGTAACTGGCTACGATGGCTGGATTGACAATGTTCGGTTGTGTATGTATTCGTCATAAGGATCCAATGCAAGTTACCGGTAACGGAGTGTAGCCAGTAAAACGGAACCTGAGTGTGTTCGGTACTGTTGCCACTGTCACCGATTGATGTAACTCGAAGGCTATGAAATCATGAAAAATCTTATCTATTCGGTGATAGTGGAGGGAATCTTTGTGGTATATAATCCCACAATTTATCACTCCCCCATTCCCGAATGCTATCTATGACAGCTCTGCCGCTGTCGCAGCAGTTGAGACAAGCCAGCACGAATTACACGTACTGGTGTGTATGCAGGTATTTTCTTACGCTTTTAGCGCTGCCTGTATCCAAGCGCTAGCCTTCTGGTGTCACGGAAGGATCTTTTTCTCGCAAGGACGTCAGTCGAAGCGCTGACGTCAGTGGAGGTACGTGTTCTCTGACTCGCTGATTCGCTCCCCCCCCCGGAATCTCGTGGAATTCTCGGAATCTCATGGAATTCGGAGGGTTCTCACGGTAGGGTGAGGGGTAGGAAGTATTCGCATTCGATCGTGCGAATTCTGTGACCAGTCGCTTACTCTTATTCAGCGATCCTACTATTTTACTATAGCGAACTAAGCTGGTATCTTCCTAGGAAATCATGTCACGGAATCCGTGTTCCATGAGGGGTACGAGTGATACTAGTGTACGAAGCTGCTAACTACCGATCAGTAGTCAGCCACGGGCTTGATGTGTTCTTCGGTGATCCGAGCGAGGTGGAGATCTTCTGAAGGACTTAGACGATACTACCTAGTGTTCCGTTTCCGACTAAGTCACGATTGGGGAGTTTCTCAGAGAGAACTCCCCCATAGTTTATGTGTACATTACTAGGGAACGTCATGAGTACTATTTAACTATAGAGACTTGCCAATCTCTAAGCCTGGAGGTGAACTTCTCCCCCCAAGTCTTTACGGTTGGATGGTACGATTGAGTCACGGGGAATGTGAAGACTATAACTCCCCCGGAACGGTGTGTGCATGCTGCAGATTTGTCGTGCCTCTCTAGCCCTGCAGGGTAGTGTGTACATAACTGCAGACTTGTAGAATGCATGAGAAGACTTATGGGCTACTTAACTACTAGTGCATACTTACTAGCGAGCTTTCCGACATGGAGTTATTATCATGGGAGCAGGAACGATTCGGAACACAAGGGAACACCATCAAGAATCGAACTACAAGCCCACAAACCCTAACTCCCAGGGGACCGTAGCTAGAACTACTAAACTACCCATTGCTTGGCCCCGTACAGAATCTGGTCTACTGTGAGGAAATGAGGTAAGCAACGAAAACGGGTAAAGCGTCGTACTGTTAATCCTATGAAATCATGAAAAATCTTATCTATTCGGTGATAGTGGAGGGAATCTTTGTGGTATATAATCCCACAATTTATCAGAAGGTAACTGGCTACAATGGCTGGATTGACAATATTCTGTTGTGCATGTATTCATCAAAAGGATCCAATGCGAGGTACCGGTAACCGTAGCGAGCAAAGCCGAACTTTCGGTACTGTTGCCACTGTCGTCGATGTAGCTATACCGCAGCCGGCAACAATGGGTGGATTCATTATGTTCGGTTGTGCATGAAGTCTATTCGTTATAAGGATCCAATGCAAGATACCGGCAACGGAGTGTAGTCTGCAAACAGAACCTGAGTGTGTTCGGTACTGTTGACACTGTCGCCGATGTAACTGTACGGTAGCCGACTACAATGGCTGGATTAACAATAGTCGGTTTTGTGCATGTATTCGTCATAAGGATCCAATGCGAGGTAACCGAGTGCAGCGAGCAAAGAGGAACCTGAGTGTGTTCGGTACTGTTGCCACTGTCACTGATCGATGAACTCTACTGTAACTGGCTACGGTGGCTGGATTGACAATGTTCGGTTGTGCATGTATTCGTCATAAGGATCCAATGCAAGGTACTGGTAACGGAGTGTAGCCAGTAAAGCGGAACCTGAGTGTGTTCGGTACTGTTGCCACTGTCACCGATCGATGAACTCTACGATAGCTGGCTACGATGGCTGGATTGACAATGTTCGGTTGTGCATGTATTCGTCATAAGGATCCAATGCAAGGTACTGGCAACGGAGTGTAGCCAGTAAAGCGGAACCTGAGTGTGTTCGGTACTGTTGCCACTGTCACGGATCGATGTAACTCTCTGCCTACGGTACCTACCGTAGCTGGCTATACAATGGCTGGATTGCATCTATTCGTCATATGGATCCAAGTAGCGAGCAAACTGAGGAAACAGGAGACCACCGCTGAAAAAAAGCCGAATTTCCTATTTCCTATTTCCTGTTCCGGTGAAGCCAAAATATAGGGATAGAGATAGGTGTAAGCCAACAAAACTGGAAATTAAAGGTTTAACAAGTTTAGGGGTAGGAATAAAATCATGATTATTCAAGGTTAGTGCACTCATCACAATAAGCCAGCAGAAGCTACAAAGGTTACAGTTACATAAGGGAATGACAGCTGTAAAATTTTGGTTATTGGGCGGCAACACACGGCGAAGTCGGGTGTTGTCGCCAGGGCTAGCCTAAATTTAAAAAAAGATTACAATGAGGGAATGATACCGGGTGGCAACATACGACGAAGTCGGGTGTTGTCGCCAGGGCTAGCTTGAAAGAAGAGTGCAATCTCAAATATGTCATCCTTCTTCTATTTGTCTTTCTGCCGAGGTATCGCAGCTCCCGCTGACTTAATGCTATTTCCTATTTCCTATTTCCTATTCCGGTGAAGCCAAAGTATAAGGATAGAGATAGTCATAAGCCAACAAAATGAACATTGATGGTTCAATACAAGTTAGGGGTAGGAATAAATCATTAATATTTAAGGTTAGTGCAAACAGCACAACAGCACAATAAGCCAGCAGGAGCTGTAAAGGTTAGAGTTACAATAAGGGAATGGCAGCTGGTAAATTATAGAGTAGCGGGCGGCAACACACAACGTAGTCGGGTGTTGTTGCCAGGGCTAGCTTAATAAAAAGAAGGTTGCAATGAGGGAATGAATCATATCGGGCGGCAACACACGACGTAATCGGGTGTTGTCGCCAGGGCTGGCTTGAAAGATGGGTGCAATCTCGAACATGATCCTCCTTCTTCTATCTGTCTTTCTGCCGTTCTGCCGAGGTATCGCAGCTCCCGCTGACTTAAAGAAATTCTAATGTTCAGCTAATAGCTACATCGTACTACCTGGTATGCATAGCTATTAGTCAAACTTTGTCAGGTCCAAGCTTTGGAATAAGACAGCTCAGTGGGCTGGAGGGCTCTGCCATTCTCCAGCTGCCACGTTTCAACCCCAGCTTTGGAATACCAGTATGTACGTACCTGTGAAATTCTCTCAACATTTCTGAAAATTCAAAGAAATTTTTGCCCACCATGGCCATGCATGGTGCCATACGGTGCAGCAAATGCTTCAACAGCACAGCAGAAGAACACGCAGTATCATTAGAGCTCCTGCAAATGGGATACGGTACTTGGTACTCTTCCAAGATGGTTGGTATCCGAGATGATGAAGCATGGTATGACAATCTGGAGAAGCTCAAGCAATTCAAGCAGAAGAATGGACACTCCAGAGTTCCACGTGCTCAGCCACAACTGGGAGTGTGGGTGTCAAATCAGCGGCAAAGGCAAAATACGATTCCCAAACATCGAATGGATGCCATTGATGCCATTGGATTTTGTTGGTCACGTGATGAAGCTTGGGAAACAATGTATGCTGAATTGAAGAAATTCCAAGAAAGGCATGGTCACTGCAGGGTTCCAATAGCAGGGAAACTAGGCAAGTGGGTCGCCAGGCAGCGGTTCTTTCACAGCGAAGGAAAGCTGAATGAGGAGAGATTTCAAAAGTTACACGGTATTGGTTTTGCTTGGACTCTCAGAGAAACCGCTTCTGATCCATTGGGAGGTGAATCGCTAGCCATGTTTGCCAATCTGCAGAAATTCCAAGAAAAGCATGGACCCTGCAAGGTACCATTTTCAGAGGGAAAGTTAGGTAGTTGGGTCTCTACACAGCGAGGGCTTTTCAACAGAGGGAAGCTGAATGAGGAGAGATTTCAAAAGCTACAAGAGCTCCGTTTCACTTGGGTGTTATGTGGCAATTCTTCCTCTTGTGTGGCACAACCTAGACAAGGTACCCGATCTCAAACATCAAGGATGGGAGGAGCTGCTGGTAAGAAGGGGATAATGGCTTTTGATTTGGGTGATGATGAAGATGATGATGACGAAGATAGAGATGACATGGAATCAATAAAAGAAAAACAACAAGAGGCTGATGATGAACAGCCTTCTGATGAAGAAATGTCTAGCAAACCTCAAGCAATGAAGCTCAAGAGAGCAACAAAATGCCAACGTCACAAACTTCAATGGTATTCCAGGAAACTGAAAGCTACTCCCAAGAAGAATGCTTCCACAGAAAAGGATGACACCGAATCCATAACTGAAGACAAGGCTTCCAGGAGGAGAACTGCCGAATTGGGGATGGAATCAGAAAAGGAGGAGGAAGGAGAGCAGAGCATAGAGATGGAAGTTTCGTGTGATGAGGACAATGATGATACCAGTAGTGACATTGAAGGTGACATTGAGGAAGAAGCTAGTATTGGAATTCCCAGAAGGGCCAAGGGTTCCCAACTTCAAAAGCTCCGCAAGCTGGTTGCTGCCCAGGAGACAATCATCAAAAACCAGATTGAACGGCTGCACTACAAGAGAACAATTATCCGCAGTCAGAGAAGAGCCATCAGAAAACAGAAAAGGATAATCAACATGCGACAGAAATTCATCCAGAAGATGCCCATCAAAATGGCTGTGCTGCAACAGCAAGTTGAGACAATTCAACAAGAGCTTGCAGATCTTCAGGGCTCAGGGCTTGACCTTTAGAGTACATACCTCTTTACTTCGATCAGTGTTTCTGCACCAGTGCTTGAAAACTATGTGGAATTGATCTGCTGCTGCATTTCCACAACTCCCCGTGGCTAAGAGATGGATCGTGGAAGGACCAATCAGTATTTTAACCTTATTGCACCCACTACATACATTATCTCAGTGTGAGCTTCTTTCTTGCTCATTTGACCTGTCTGGCCTGTCTTCCCCCCTCTGAAGCCGACGCACTGCACCAAGCCGCTACCAGTCGGGTGGTGGCTAGCTAGCGATCCATCTACATGTATATATAGTATCCTTGAGCTACAGTACTACGGTATCCTTGTTTCAACGAACCTACTGGTATGTGAACATTGCGAGAGTTTGTTGCCTCAGTGCACTACATACTCAAGTCTCCAACCGATGATGTTGAGTCGGCTTCATCAGCTGGCAATGCAGTGTGAGCTTGCAAAAGCCTAAGCACGAGACTTGCATTTCCCCCGAAGGTTTAGTTCCAGGTATGGTACCAGCAGTACTAGTAGGCTCAAGGCATCTACTAGATGAACACGGTTTTTAAGACCCTTTTGGTACGGTTTGTGTATTCCAATGTACGACTGTACACTTAAACTTTCCCGAGCACGTTCTCGTTCCCTACTACTAGTATACTTAATTTAGTCTTGCCATCCCCCAACAGACTGTACTGTATTGTGCTAGCTACGAGACGAGACGCCAAACCATGGACATGTTTGATTATCCACAAAACCTGTGGGTACCTTTCCACAAACAAAGCCAATCTACCTCTGTCGCAATTGTTCCAACATCCCTGCAAGATCTTCTTTTTTGGGGGCCGCCTTTTTCTTTCTTGTTTCCTTGGCATCTTGAACCATTTGTGCTTTGAGCACGTCCAGCGAGAGTGTTGTATCGGACGCTACAGCATTGTTTGACGCCGCAATGTACCCCGTGATATCCAACGTTACCTTTTTCTTTTTGGCAGTGCTTTCCTCGTCATCCTTTTTGGTGGATGCTACTATTATCTCCTCGTGGACACGTTTGCGACTACCAATAGTTGTCGTAGTGGTTGTTGTTGTCAAGGGCAAGTGCCAATCGTCCAGGACCTGATGCTTTGGCACCTGCCGGCATGGATCATCCTGGACCCATGCTCTCAACAAGGAGTAGACGGGAATAGCCGCAAAGTCACTTCGCTTGTCAGTATTGTTGTGTGCAAAAGCATCTAGATTGACTCGTCGATCCATAATGTGAAAATAGGATGATGCCTCTCTAGGAATGGCGGCAAAGATTTCTTGTGACGACACTGGAATGGCTTGATTGGCGTATGGTCTTATTTTGGCCAGACGACGCATGGGTTTTGCAGCGGCAGATGGAATGGAGGAATAGAGTGGTCTATAATATGGTGGCGGCTTTGCAGCTGCTGCTGGCGTTGCTGCAAAGGGGGGTGAGAAACCACCCTTGTATTGTGGTGGATAAGGAAGCTGCGAATGATGATGCTGTTGACTGGATGGCTTTTTATTTGTGGGTGTGATGGACTGGGAATGTCTCTTTTTCGCAGAAGCAGCAGCAGCTGATACTTTTTTATCTTGTTGGTGGATTGTTCCCGTGCTATGCCGTCTGTATGGAATCTGCTGGCTGCTATTACCGGTACTGACGGGTGGTGGCTGTTTCAGGTTCTTGCTAAATGTATTGTCGTTTGCAGGCTTGTTGGTCGATGGTCGTCCTTTGATGATCACTCGGTCTTCTTCTTGCGTGGCTTGGTTATATGTATTCCGACGCTGTGCTGGTGCCGGTGAGGAACGCTTCTGAGCTGCAAATGCCAAAGCTTGCAGAAAGGCTGGCATCCCGTACGAAGCCCAGGTGAACTTGCTTAGATAGAATTTGGCAGTGTAACCTCGAAAATCGTAGGGAGGCAGGTTTTCCTGCGTCTTCATGAACTCTTCTTTCGTGATCAGGATATTATTACTGCTTTCCACCATCATGGTCGTTTCATCGGCACTCGCATTACTAGCAGTAGTTTGACCTGCTGCTGGATTTGCGGATGCCGGTGTGGTTGGTGCGCTCATGGCTGACTTCCCGTCTATCCGTCACAGATCTTCCTCGTGCTTGTGCTCGTGATCGTGCTCGCCTTCTGTCGCTTATCGATGTTTAGTAGTTTGCCTAGAGTAGCTAAATCCACAGGAGACAACCTCGTCGACGAACCTCAAGCCTATCTCTGCAGGACCAATCTTCTCAGAGGCAGCACTGTTGCGCATGTGCGCCGTCTCCAAGCGTCGAAGCAGACGTTGCGTTTGATTGATGACGCCGCGACGTCAGGATCTGAGTGGTGATTTCTTAATTTCGTCTCCTGGAGACGATTTGCTTTAGAGGGGTAATGGTACCGATGGGGGCAGAGGTTTGAATTATACCCGGCGCGCATTACTTAGAAGGCCCTGTAGAAGTCTACGTATTCGACTAGTATTGTATTGACGGGATACAGTCAACGCATGATGTACATGCACATGAAAGTCGCCTTGCGTTCTTCACATTTTAAAAGTTGGCTCCTAATTTTTCGGGGTCGCCTGTGATTTGAATGGACGCTTGATCTTTTTATTTCAATTGACTGACATTGAATGACGTTCGAGGTGCAATCGAATCTCAGAAAGGTAGTTGGAGTAATAAAAGTTTTTACATACAGATTAATTTACCCTATATCCCTACCTGTTTATACTTATAACAAGAACCCGTTCTTCTCGCTAGAACATTACATCGTATTGATCTTCTCATAGGACAGAAACCCAAATATATCCTTAAATCTTGCAAGCATGTCTTTCATTCGTTGTTGCTGGCAAAGTTCTTTGGATCCATCCAGCTTCTTCAATAAGAACAAACCCTTCATGGTTCGACCTTGATAACACCACGTAAGCCAGTTTTGACGTATCGCCATGAATGTACCATAACCACACCTGCAGTATATTCCCTGTAATCTTGTGTCCAGATTGTCGCAGAATTGCTGATAATCGGGAAACTGCTTACCCTTAATCTTGGTGTGTAACAACTTCCCTCGTCATAAAACCATCTGATACTGAAAGTGTAGTCTTGCTCCGTTAATAAAAAGTACGTGGCATAATTAGTCTCCATTTATGTTCCCAAGGATAGATTTGACTTGAACCTGAGAAAAAAGCCGAATCTTGCAGCCGTTGTCGAGTTGAATAACCATGGGGGTGCTAACCATGCCTCACATTCACTTTTCTCACAAAAAGCCGAGATCCTATTGGCTTCTCCATTCCGGAACATTCGTGTTCTCTGTAAACATTACAGGACACCCTTATATCTTCAAAGCAGGATCAACACGTTTCGTGAGTCCGAACCGGTTTTAACGGCTTCTCACACTTGTTTGAAGAAGTGCTTTTAAACCGAATTGCTCTTAACAGGAACAGTGTCCCTGCTGTTGGCCATTTGAGTCGTCCATGAAATGAGTACTGCATCCTCAGCACGGAATCATCAGCAGGTTTGTTCTTCCTGCAAAATTCTTCGAAGATAGCTGAGTTAATGGCATCTCGATCTCGATTCAGATAGTAGCAACTTGAATGTTCTCTGTTGGAACATGTGTTGGGCCAACCACGCAGGCATCATTGATGGTCTCAATATCTTCTTCTGTTGGTCGCCTTTCACGGAATCTTAAACAGCTTTGCCCCCATTCAGGATCGTTTTTGAAGCGGTGCATTCCATCTAACTCAATAATGAATTCAGAGAGTCATGAAATTCAGGAATGGTGTGCTCAAGATTGTAAATTGGGGGACGTCCCACTGGTTCAAGTAGAGAGTAGTCCCCCGCGAAAACCAAGTTAAGTCCCCCAAATGGTTGGTATTCGTCTTTCATCAAGGTCTTGGTGTATTGGAATATCTTCACTAAGTACAGTTCCCCCGCGAATGAAATTTCGTCGATGATAAGCTTCCGTGCGTCACTCCATTCTTCTACCAAGTTCTTCGCCACACTTTTCCGAGTTCTGTTCAATCCACAGCTGAATGCGTTGTTTCCCCCTGTAGTATTGTAGCAGCAACCCCAGACATATCAGTGACAACAATGGTTCAATTTAAATGGATGATCAATCAAACTGCAGAATTCTTTGCCATAGGCCATGATTAAGTCAATTACGGTAGTCTTCCACTTCCTCCAGGCCCATGTAGATGAAGAATCAGTTGGGTGCTACGACTTCCCTTCAAAATCAAAAAGTTTTTACGAGAAAGTCGGACTTTTGCCTTCAACCCCATATCCGGGACTTCATCCTCTAAGTCCACCTTTTCAGCTTCCTCATAAAATGTCAACAAGAAGGCTGAAATGATACACTCGAAAGCCCTTTTCTGTTTGTCGTCCAGATTGGGAGCCGTTGCCCAGTCACTTATACTACTTCTCACGCTTCCATTCGCCTGCGACACTTCAACCTGCGGATTGTACTTAATACATTTGCCCTTTGGATGCATTCCCGTTTGTTAAGTAGAAATTCAATGATCTTGTGATATCGAGGTTTAGGCGGTTCCACTCTGCTTCTCTTTGTAGTGCCAGTCGTGTGAAAGTCAGCACTTATGGTACCAAATTCGTCTTCATCTAACGATTTCTCAGGAATGGGTAACTGCACTTTGTATCCTGCGTTGTCGCTTCCATTGGTACGTATAGCCGTAAAACTAAGAACATCAAATGTGCTTGCCAGAAAGTCCCGGTTTGAATCTGTTGTGCCCTGGCTCTCAAGATCACGTATCCAATCTTCGTAAACTTTTTGAATCAGATCATCTTCCTCCTGTTCGTGCTCATCATCAGATTCGTTTTCGTACATGTTTTCCTCCCAATTTTCCGGTCTATAGGGTTTGGTAACTCGTTGAAGATCATTCTCTTTCACCTTATACCTCGGGTTTTTGAAAGCGGTGTCTTGAATTGTCTGGATGAATGACAGGTCCCTTTCTGAGAAGACGACGGGTTTTTCGTTATTCGCTTTTCTCAGACCATCGTATTCATACACTTCACGAAGTCTTTCAGCGAAAGCAAAGTTTGTCTGGGGTACGGACTTCTTTAAATCGGCCAAACATCGATGCGGCAAGTAAAAAGCCAACAGCACTTCCGCATAAGTATCCATTGCCGTGTTCAGTTCGCCAGTAGGAACCGTCAGGATATTCGCACCAAAACCGTCTGCATCTGAGAAGGCCCATTGTGGAAACCGAACCAATGCTTCTTCTTTCCTCAAAATTACTTCCGCTGAAGTTTCACCAGTTAACACCGCGTCGTTTCCTTTGATCGCTGATGGATTCACGAAATGCCCAGTGTCAGCCATAAAAGGTCATTTCTCCTCATCAGTTCGCTGACGCTTCCGCCTTTGGACACTCTTCATTGGTCGTTCCTCGTAAAGCTCGTAAACCGCTTCACTGACACATTCTCTAGATCTTTGTTTCGACACAGATAGTGGAACGCCTGGTTCTCAAGATAAACCTGACCTGTTGGTGAATATAGTCGTTCTGATGACACTTCTTGTTTGTTCAACAGCAACTTTACATCTTTGATCGGACAGAAGAGAAAGCGATGCGAAAAGTAGAACCTTGATTTGTTCCGCGTAATGAATGAGGCCAATGATGGACCAATTATATTTGACTTTTTATGGGCAAAAGCTGCAAGGAAGATCCGACGAAGAGCCTCCTTGTCATCGTCTCCATACAACCTTCCGTTTAGGGACTTAATAGCACGCTCAACAGAAGCATACTCGGCCGTGTCGTCTTGCTGCGTAGACTTGTGTTGGTAATTCATCTGATACATGGACAAGGGTCCAATCGTAATAAGAGATACGTTGCTGTTGCATGCGAACTTGGACTCTGAAAAAGCCTTGCACGACTGATTCTGGAACAGATCATACGCATTCCTTTTCGGTTGGAATTCCACTCTGGGCTGTTTCCGGGAACCTCCGGTACAATCAAACCACTTGGTTCCTGTATTCACTGCAACCACCCTTGATTCCGACCGAGGTCTGTCAGGAAGCCTGTATGGACATTCGCACTTTGGGGCTGGTCCACATGTATGCGCTCGATCCAGCTTGTTGCACTTGAAGCATCCTTGACATGACAAGAAGTATGAAGTTGATAGAGAGCATTAATAATCACTGTTGGTGTTTCAGATACTGTTGCCCCGATATTCTTCTGGAAATCCACAACACGAGTCTGCATTCTGGGTTTTGGACTATGTTCCCTCATCACCGGTGGTTTCTGATCCATTCATTCCTTCACACTGTCGTAAATACCCAGTTAACAGATCCTCATAAGTAAATTCGACTCCGCAGTGATCACAGTAAGCAAACTTTCCCGATACAGCATAGCGTTGTACCCCTTCTTATGTATTAGGTAACGGAGTAGCTGATCCGACACAACCACAGGGGATCCCGAAAACTCTTGGACACTTTACAAGCATGATCAAAAAGATCCAGGAGAGTTCTTGTATCTGTG